TTTAAAAATAAAGAAGATATCATTCACAGAGAAAAACAAAACTCTACAACAAACCAGCCTTTACAGGACCAAAGACCATCCTACGTCAGCATTTATCACCATAATATGAACGTAAGTAAGCCAAAGTTTTTCACTAAGGTGTCTCTCACTTACTTGGTTCCCTCAAATCACTTTCTGAACAAGTGCCCCCTCTATCTAACACAATATATACTTTACAAACTCAAAGCATTCCTTTTTTTCATCCTTCCCTTCCTTGACTCGTGAGTGTGTTTTTGTTCATCACTGCATTTAAACAAGCCTTAAATGGCTGTGGAGAGAGATTTTGTTCCTTTTTAGTTTGTTATACTTTACGGCCCCGTAACAAGGCATATCTATTCATCCATTCAGCAAACATCCAAATATCTGTAAAACACAGGGTAACTGTAAATTACTACAAAGTAACTCCACACCTGTAACACCAGGATATTTGAAAAGGCCAAGAATCTTGACTGAAGCCATCACAGAATAGTAGTCAGTGTCCTCACTGTTTTCACTTAGAGATATTAATAGTGTTAATACAAATAGCACCAAAGTATTTGCAGACGAAGGAACCCTTCCTGAAATTAGATCTCCTATTCTTGTGGAAACAGTGAAGTAATCTGTACAGTTACATAAGGGTCTTAAACACTTATTTGTGTCAGTAGAAGTCCAAATACCATCCAAGTGCACTGTATGTTCCCTCCTCAACAGCAGAACGTAACTTGCATTGAACACAATGCACCTGAGCTTCACTTGTGTACCCAGCCCTCAGAAACAGAAGACATGAGCCCTCCTGCCCATATGCAATTTAAGCCAGTGGTTTTCAACCACTTGGATTTGTTGATCCCTTGAATTTTTATGTTATAGTGGAAATTTCACCAGGTGCTGTGACTCGCAGCAATTTCACATATCTAACCTGGGATACAGTACATGTGAATCTGTTTTTCTTTTGCAAATCCTGTAGAATTTAGAAGTCCTCCATTGAACTCTTGTGGCTGAAAAATCCTCATTTAGTAAATTCTTTATCTATTTGTTGGGTAACACTGCCTTTTAAATGTCATTCTCTCCCTTTCTTTCTAGTTCCACTCAATTTTTACTTCTGATCTTAAATAAAAATGCCTTCAATTATTCAGCGGTTTTCTTTCTTTTACTGTGCTTAGTGACTCTAACTGAAAGAGCTGATATTATTTGGTTACAGTCAAGAAAAAAGTACTCAAAAAAGAAAGCTTTACATAAAAATGTATTAAAATGCAATCTTCCAGCTCTGAAGAAGCCTCTGTAGCTTTTTGGTTTTGTTTCAGAGAACATTCCCAAAGCTTTCCAAGACTTTTAAAAATCTCCTATAAGGCATGAAGCATTAATCTCTAAAATTAAAGCTGCTAGAGCTGGATTACCAGTCCTCTAACAATTACTGGGTGGTTTTGTTTTGGGAGAAAGGATAATCTTGGGGTTAAGGCACTGGATGAGGAAAAAAAAAAAATCCCGAGTCAGTTCCCAGTACCATCACCAACTTCCTGTAGGATCTTTGATAACCCAGACTGACTTTTTACTGCTTATCAGAATAAATCTAAAAATAGGAATATAAATATAAAATGGGAATAGCAGTATTTCTGAGTGATTTTGTAGGGACAAGGCATAGTAAGTACAAGATGCCAGTATAAGAAAGAGCCATAAACTCAAAATATCCCTCATATTTACTAAGGACTGTCTAAGCCCCAGTAGGCATACAATGGCAAAAGGCTTCAAAAGGAACTGTCTCATCCAGGCTAGAGCTCATGTGGGCTGCTCTGCTTGGGGGATTAGTGGAGAGATATGTAAGTAGCATATTTTGGAGCGAAAAAAATGAAATTAAATATGCATCCATACCTCAGCAAAAGGAGTCATCTGAGGTGTATTGGAGATGGCTTTTATGTTGCTGTCAACAAAGAATGAGTGTTGGTACAAGGTGTGAAAACCTTCCCGAGGTCCCTGTCTATGAGGGCAGGTGGCTGTTGCTGAATTGTGTGAAAGGGCACCTTTACTACCCTTGGTACTGGAATTAGACAGCTAATACCACTGCTAAACCTGCCTACACTGCAGTCCCTCCTCCCAGCACACTGCATTTGCACCTACTCACCTGGAGTATTGTGTGCAGGTCTGGAGCCCTCAATATAAGAAGGACATGGACCTGATGGAGAGGGTCCAGAGGAGGGCCACAAGGATGATCAGGGGGATGGAGCACCTCTGCTACAAGGACAGGCTGAGGGAGCTGGGGTTGTTCAGCCTGGAGAAGAGGAGGCTCCGGGGAGACCTAATAGCAGCCTTCCAGTACCTGAAGGGAGCCTACAGGAAGGCTGGGGAGAACCTGTTTAGAAAGGCCTGCAGTGACAGGACGAGGGAAAATGGCTTCAAGCTGGAGGGGAACAGATTTAGACTGGAGATGAGGAGAGGGTTCTTCACTGTGAGGGTGGTGGAGCACTGGAACAGGTTGCCCAGGGAGGTGGTTGAGGCCCCATCCCTGGAGATATTCAAGGAGAGGCTCGACGAGGCCCTGGGCAACCTGGTCTAGTTGGGGGTGTCCCTGCTGACTGCGGGGGGGTCGGACTGGATGGCCTTTAGAGGTCCCTTCCGGCCTGGGCAATTTTATGATTCTATGATTCTACGCAATGAGCCCTCTCTTTGCCTCACTTCAGCTGTCTACAGGCCAGGCATCGACCCAGAGGGCAGGAACTGTCTTGGGAAGACTGAAATATATTCCAAGCTGAATATTTGTGTGACACGGTCCAAAGCCTCGTTGATACACTTACTCACCATCTGTGTTTGTGCCTCTATATGAAACTCAGTGTATTTACAAATGGACATCTCTGCCAAGAGTATGGAGCTGTCCTGAGTCTCTTCAGGCAACTCTCCTGGAGTTTCCCCCAGGAAAGCCAGATGCCCTTCTAGGTTTCATCACTAGGTTTTCATTCATTTTGCAAAAGGTGCCTTTAAAATATGACATAATTTTCTTTTGGCCTGTAAGACTTCTATTCAAATGTGAAATTAATTTGTACAGATAATATAGACCACTTCTGTTACATGAACTATCTAATCATAAGATGGAAATACAGGAGCATTTCCTAAACTGATTTTATTTTAAAGATGTCTACTCAGGGCATATTACAATACAAATATTGTATGCATACTGTCTATGTCTATACATTCACATTTATACATAACGATACGCTGTACGGGGTATAAAATGCCCAAGTAGCCACATACACACACACACAAACATACAGGAGCCATCTCTTACTCTGTTTTGAAGAACACCCAGCATAATGGGAGAGGCATTCAGAGCAGAATTCCCAGACACTCACACAGTAATAGGATGTGTGGGTGGCTGGAGCTGGACGGGGTAAAGAACTGCCCTGTTTACTTGCTCTTCTCATTTCATTTATGGTCTCCGAAAAAAAAAACCAACACCTGAATTGTATTGTGTTCGCCCACAAATGTTAAGATTAAATATAACCTAAAGAATCATAACTTTTGCTTAATGATTAAACTGTCAGTCTGCCTAAATAAAAGAATTAAAGACCCTGCGAACACTAGGTTTAAATTATTTTCAAGACCTATAAAGAGACAACAGAAAACATAAACAGCCTGAACTGTTTAAAATGTGTTTTCCCTCTAATTAAATAAGAAACATCTGTCTTGGGATTTTGGAAGTGGATAGAATCTATCCACATTGTGCCTAAATCAGTTTGCATCTAGCTTCCAATATTCTGAAATAAAACCCTTGCTTTCTGAAAAGAATTAAAACGAGCATGCCAAATGAGGTGCTTCATCCCTCCGAACACACAGAAAATCCCTTGCTGAAAATAACAGCAAAGACTAGCAACCCTGTGATTTCCAGGGTTCAGAGGATCAGGGAATTGTCAGAGTTGGAAGGGACCTTCTAGAGCCCATCCAGTCCAACTCCCCTGCCAAAGCAGGGCTGCCCAAAGCACATCACTCAGGAGCATCCAGGGGGGCTTGAAGATCTCCAGAGAAGGGGACTCCACACCCTCCCTGGGCAGCCTGTCCCAGGGCTCTGCCACCCTCACCCCAAAGAAGTTCTTCCTCACATTGGAGTGGAACTTCCCATGGTCCAGCTTGTGCCCGTTGCCCCTCGTCGTCACTGGGAAGAAGTGTGTGAGACACGAGTTTGGGGGGGGGGGGGGGTGTTTGCCTTCTGAGCACTAAAAAACCAAACCAACCCCAAAATCAAATCACCCTCTTTTCAAAATGAGGGTATCCCCCACAAATACCTTTCATTAAAGCGTTAGGATGAGCTGGGCACACACAGAATCTTCTAGGTTGGAAGGGACCTTAAAGATCATCTTGTCCAACCGTCAACCTAACTGACAAAAATAGACACCCACACAACAAACAAGGAGCATCATCACTAAACCAGACCTCCCAGCACTACATCAACCCGTCTTCTGAACACCTCCAGGGATGGTGCCTCAACCACCTCCCTGGGCAGCCCATTCCAATGGCTGACAACCCTTTCAGTGAAAAAATTTTTCCTAATATCCAGCCTGAACCTCCCCTGGCGCAACTTGAGGCCATTTCCTCTTGTCCTGTCGCCTGTGACTTGGGAGAAGAGACCGACCCCCCCTGGCTACACCCTCCTTTCAGGGAGTTGTAGAGAGCAAGAAGGTCTCCCCTCAGCCTCCTCTTCTCCAGGCTGAACACCCCCAGCTCCCTCAGCCTCTCCTCATGAGACTTGTTCTCCAGACCCCTCACCATCTTTGTCGCCCTTCTCTGAACACACTCCTGTTATTTCTCTGGGGAGGCCACAGGCGCTCCCCCCCGGGCGCGACTCCTCCAGCGACCCGCGGACACCCGGACCGAGGCGGCACAACCCACGGGAGACACGGGAGAAACCCGCGCCGGGCCGGGACCGCGGAACAACAGGCTCAAGGCTGCGCGGCGCGGTGCGGGGTGGTGCGGGGCGGCGGGGGGGGTGTTTCACCTACTGGTGTTATCGAAGGGGATCTGGCTGCAGCGGGCGGCGGGCCAGGGGCAGTGGTACACCGCTCCTCCTTCCACGATCTCCGGCTGCGTGGTGTTGGCTTTGGGCGCTCCCACCAGGACGCTGACTCTGCGGGACACACCGGGAGGTCACCGGG